CCTTGAATATATCCCACCTGAATTTAGAGATCATCTGAAGAACAGATTTGATACATTAAACACTAAAGACCGAAGACCAGAAGAGTTGTGGGATGACATTAAGAACATCATACATGAAGAAAGCAAAAAGTCATTAAGAAGACAAGAAAGAAGGAAAAGGTCAAAATGGATGTCTGAAGAGACACTGCAACTTGCTCTCCAGCATAGAGATGCTAAAGCAAATGGAAGAAATGAGCAGGTCCAAGAGCTGAACAGAAAATTTCAAAGATCATCTCGAGACAACAAAGTCAAATCTTACAATAAAATGTGCAAAGATCTGGAATCAGAAAAACAAAAAGGAAGACCATGCTCAGCATTTCTCAAGCTCGGGGAACTGAAGAAAAAATTCAAGCCTTGACTTTCATTATTGAAAGATTCTCTGGGAAAATTATTTAATGATGCAGGAAGCATTAAGTGAAGATGGAAGGAATATACAAAGTCACTGTACCAAAAGGAAATGGTTAATGTTCAGCCATTTCAAGAAGTAGTATATGATCAAGAGCCCATGATACTGAAGGAGGAAGTTTAAGGTGCATTGAAGGAATTGGCAAAGAACAAGGCACCAGAAATTGATGGAATAAAAATTGAAATCTTTCAAGAAAGTGAGGCGGCATAGGAGGCACTCACTCATCTCTGCCAAAAAATTTGGAAGAGAACTATCTGGCCAACTGATTGGAAAAGATCCATATTTCTGCCCATTCCAAAGAGAGATGACTCAATGGAATGCGAAAATCATCAGACAACCTCTTTGACATCCCATGAGAGTAAAGTTTTACTAAAGGTAATGCAGAAATGGCTGCAAGCATACATTGACAGAAGACTTCCAGAGGTTCAAGCCAGATTCAGAAGAGGCTGTGGAACAAGGGATATCATTGCTGATATCCGATGGATCTTGGCTGAAAGCAGATATTATTAGAAAGATGTTTACCTGTGCTTTTTTGATTACACAAAGGCTTTTGATTGTGTGGATCATGACAAGCTTTGGACAACATTGCAAAGTATGAGTATTTTGTAACATTTAATTGTGCTCATTAGGAATCTGTACCTGGACCAAGAAACAGTTGTTTGAACAGAACATGGGAACACTGAATAGTCTAAAACTAAGAAAGGTGTGCAACAAGGTTGTATTCTTTCACCATGCTTATCCAACCTGTATGCTGAGCCAATAATCCAAGAAACTGGGTTCTATGAAGACTTTCCCTTAGAGATTGCTATTTAAAAAAAAAAAGAAGAAGACAAAAGCAAGAGTATAATGATTCACTGAAACACAGTGTCAATGCAAAGATTCATGAGGGTATCATCTGACTCATGTTTTCAATGTGTCTGTTTTTTGTTGCTCTGATATGTAGTATGTTTCCAGTGAACACTTCATATATTTTATTTAAATTACTGAGAAGTACTCAGTGATTCTACAAAGGGTATAAAATTTATATACTACACATATTTTATTTAAACACTTACTCTTCAATGGGTATTATTTGAAGTGACAATCACATGATTTACTATACCAGGATTGACAAATTGAGAACAAACAGCATTGCATTCATCATAAAACAAACAAACATATCAAGCTCTGTCTTGAAATACAATGCTATCTGAGATAAGATAATATCCATGCACCTATAAGGAAGACTAGTTAATACAACTACTTTCCAAACTTATGCACTAGTGACTAAAGCCAGTGATGATGAAATTGAAGAATTCTACCAACTTCTTCAGGCTGAACCTGACCAAATATGCAATCAAGATTTATTGATGATTACTGGCGATTGGAATACAAAGGTTGGAAACAAAGAGGAAGGATCAGTAGTTGGAAAATATGGTCTTGCTGATAGAAATTATGTTGATAGAAATGCAAATCAAAAGATAGAATTTTGTAAGAACAATGGCTACTTTATTGCAAATACCTTTTAGAGATAACATAAAAGATGACTATATACATGGATCTCACCAGATGAAACACACAGAAATCAAATTGATTACATCTGTGGAACGAGATAGTGGAAAAGCCAAAATAAGGTCAGTGACAGACTTTGGAACAGATCATCAATTGCTCACATGCAAGTTCAGACTGAAGCTGAAGAAAATTATAACAAGTCCATGAGAGCCAAAATGTTACATTGAAAATATTCCACCTGAATTTAGAGATCATCTCAAGAACAGAATTGATTCATTAGACACTAAAGACTGATGACCAAAAGAGTTGTGGCATTACATCAAGAATATCATTCAAGAAGAAAGCAAAAAGTCATTAAGAAGGTAAGAAAGCAAGAAAAGGCCAAATTGGATGATAGAACAGATTCTGAAACTTGCTCTCCAATATAGAAATGCTAAAGCAAATGGAAGAAATGAGAAGGTAAAAGAGCTGAATAGAAAATTTTGAAGAGCAGCTTGAGAAGACAAAGTCAAATATTATAATGAAATGAGCAAAGACCTGGAGTTAGAAAACCAAAAAGAAGAACATGCTTTGCATTCCTCAAGCTGAGGGAATTGAAGAAAAGAATTAAATTTCTATTTGCAATATTGAAGGAATCTACTGGCAAAAAATTTAATAATGTAGAAAGCATCAAAAGAAAGTGGAATGAATATACAGCGCCACCGTACCAAAATGAAATGGTGGATGTTTAATCATTTCAAGAGGTAGCATATGATCAAGAGCCAATGATTCTGAAGGAAGAAGTCCAAAGTACATTGAAGGCACTGGCAAAGAACAAGGCTCCAGGAATTTATGAAACACATATTGAAATTTTTCAACAAATTGATGTAACACTGGAGGCACTCACTCATCTATGCCAAGAAATTTGGAAGACAACTACCAGGCCAACTGACTGGAAGAAATCTGCATTTGTGCCCATTCCAAAGAGAAGTGACCCAATGGACTCTGGAAATCATTGGACAATATCATTGATAACCCACGTACAAAAACTTTTGCTAAAGACAATACAAAAATGGTTGCAACCATACATTGCCAGAGAACATCCAGAGGTTTAAGCCAGATTCTGAAGAGGACATGGAACGGGGGATATCATTGCTGACATCAGATGGATCTTGGCTGAAAGCAGAGAACACCAGAAAGATGTTTATCTGTACTTTATTGACTATACAAAGACTTTCAATAGTGTGAATCATGACATACTATTGACAGTATTGCTGAGAATGATTATTCCAGACACTTAATTGTGCTCATGAAGAGCCTGTACATAGACCAACAGGCAGTTGTTTGAACAGAACAAGGGAACATCAAAAGTTTTAAAATTAGGAATGGTGTGTTATTCAATCTGTATGCTGAGCACATAATCCGAGGAGCTTGATTATATCATGAAAAACATGGCATCAGGATAGAAGGAAGACTCATTAGCAACCTGCAATTGTTGATGATACAGTCTTGCTTGCTGAAAATGAAAAGAACACAAAGTACTTATCAAGATGAAAGACCACAGCCTTTGGTATGAGTTGCACCTCAACAAAAAGAAAATAAAAATTCTCACCACTGAATTAATACATAACATCACAATAAAAGGAGAAAAGACTGAAGTTGTTAAATATTTCATTTTACTCATATAACCATCAACATGCCTAGAAGCAGCAGCCAAAAAATTAAACTACATAGTGTATTAGGCAAATCTGCTGCGCAAGACCTCTTTAAAGTATTGAAGAGCAAAGATGTTAGTTTGAGGACTAAGGTGCGCCTGGCCCAAGCCATAGTATTTTCAATAACTTCGTATGCATGTGAAAGTTGTACAATGAATAAGGAAGACTGTAGAAGAATGGATGCATTTGAGCTATACCTGGAAAAGAATATTAAAAGTACCCTGCTCTGCCAAAAGAACAAACAGGGTTCCCTGAGTTGAGTTTGTAGCTATAATAACTGAGACCCAGCTTCCTGACTCTAGTTAAACACCTCTGCTGGGTGAAGGAGGAAGATAGCTTAGCTGGAAATGGCTCCTTGGGTATCAGTCTGGTAGCCAACCCAGGGGGCAGTAAGAACAGGAAGTTAAGTCTTCTCTCTATGCCTTTGTGGAACAAATATCCTGTGAAGTCTCCATCTTGCTGGTGTGACCCTGACAAGGTGATTTGGAGACTGCTCTTGCCTTTCTCAAGAGCCTTCTCTATCAACCTCAGACTTGAGGCTCCAAGACCCCTCAGATCCTCCTCAGGAAATTCCTGTGAGGACAATGGTGACATGTTATGGGCTGCAGGACACATCAAGGAGAATGATTACCAAGGTGATTCTTTTAAAAGAAGAGCAAGATGCTGGTGTGTTTCTCAAAGGAGGTACATCAACTGTACTGAATCAGTTGGCCCTGGCATCCATCAGTCATCCCACCAAGAGCAATATGGAGACATAGCAATGCGTGATGGCCACATGGGTGCTGGAGTAAAATATACCCTCTATGCCATTCCAACATACTATCAGAGTGACATCCTTCATAAAGGAGAACAAATCCATGGTAACATCGAGAGAGAGCAAAGCTCCAGAGGGAGAATCAGAGAACAGACAGGATGGGACAATCAGGAAGTGGTTAAAATTACAATTCCACGAGGAGTGAAATATGATGAATTGGTGCCGGATTTGATCCAGAGCAAATGCAATTTTTCCTTAAGCCGTGCCAAGATATCTTTCCTTGCCAGCCCCTTTGTCTTGCCTCAGTCTATGCACCAGGAGCTGGAGTTAAAAAGGTGAAACTGGTAAAGGTGATCAAGAAAGCAAGTGATAGCTGCCAGGAAACTCTTGACCTCCTGAGACTCCACTCAGACCCAGGTGTGATGACCCAAGGTACGGAAATGGGACCAAAACTCAATAGTGGCCTGGGTTCCTCCCTGCAGCTCCATGAAGAGAATATGTCCTAGTTTTCATCTTCAACTTGAGCATCAACAAACCGTACCAACTGAAGGCCTTCCTGATATCATGTAGAAAATCCCCGTCATCAAGGACCTGAATCTCTCCAAAAATGAGGTAAAGGGAAGTTGGACAAGGTGAAAGGTCTGGAGCTAGAAGAGAGGTGTGCAGACCCCTCCCCAGATAAGCCCAACAATGTAAGCACCCTTCTGGAATTGTTCCCCAAGGTATTATGCCTGGATGGCCAGGAGCTACCACGACCTGGTATCTGTGATGCTGAAAACAACAAGAAATTTCCAACCTGTAAGGAGAGCATCTTAGGATCTGAGACACTGCAGAAGCTACTCATGAAATTTCTGACACAGTGTTACTGGATCTACAACTATGGGGATCAGCAGGGTCTCCTGGGTGCTTACCACAATGAGGCCTGCTTCTCACTCACCATTCTCTTTAACCCTGAGGACCCTCATTCAAGCAGTTTGGTCAAGAATGCCACAGATAGCAGGGATATGGAGAAATGCAAGGGCCCTGACTTGATGTCTCATTTGCTGAAACACAAAACATGACATTATTGACTTCCTCAATGTGTTGCCTAGAACCAAGCATGACCTCAGCTCCTGCCTGGTGGATGTGTGTGTCCAGATAGAAAAGATGCTCTGCTTTTCTGTAGATGAGCTATTCAAGGAGGTGGACGGAATGTTTCAGTCTCATGTTTGTGCCTTCACCCGGATCTTCATTTTGAACTTTCGACAGCAATTCCAACCTATGCATTACGAATGAACAACTGTCTGTGAGGAATACCAGCTCCACAAAGACCTGGAGTGTCTTCTCCACTCAAGTGCCCACACTGTCCTCCAGCTCTGTGCCCCCCAAGTCCCAGGAGCAGCAGGAAATGATCCTGTGATCAAGGAACCAGACAACGCCTTCATGAAGTAACCCACAGTCCCAACAACAAAAACACCAAAGGAGCCAAGGTTCTGGCCATCTTTATCATCTTTGTTAGTCTCTCTCTTTTCTTTCCATTGTTCTCTGTATTTGTTCCAGCCAGTTACTCTGTTTCTTTTAAAACATAAAGAGTGAAAATGAGTGTTTAAAAAAAAAAAAAAAAAGAACATATAGATCTGTGTGGAAAGAAGTACAGCCAGAATGCTCCCTGGAAGCCAGATTTTGGCTCTCATACTTGGTCTATTATCAGGAGGGACTGGTCCCTGAAGAAGGATATAATGTCTTAGTAAACTGAAGGGTCAGAGAAAAAGAGAAAGACCCACAATGAGGTGGATTGGCACAGTGGTAGCAGCAATGTGCTCAAATGTAGCTATGATCTTCAGGTTGGCAGAAGAGCAGCCATCGTTTTGTTCTGTTGTGCATAGGGTTGCTATGAGTCAGTCAGTAACAACTTGATGGCCCCTAACAAAAACAATACGGCCCCCTGTTCCAAAGGGAAAAAAAATTCATTTACATATTTTTTTAAAATTTTAAAGTAAATAGTGTTATGTCAATTCATATATGTATTTTTTATGCTTTTTTTTTCTTAAATGTTTT